ATAGGGTATCACACAGTGTAATCTGATACCAATAGGGTATCACACAGTGTAATCTGATACCAATAGGGTATCACACAGTGTAATCTGATACCAATAGGGTATCACACAGTGTAATCTGATACCAATAGGGTATCACACAGTGTAATCTGATACCAATAGGGTATCACACAGTGTAATCTGATACCAATAGGGTATCACACAGTGTAATCTGATACCAATGGTTGTAGTAATGAACTCATAGCCGAACTAGGATCTATCTAACACGTGAAACATGTATCCAATGATGCTTTTTATAACATCATCAAACCAATGGTGCCTCTTAAGCGGAACGTAAGACAAAGACCTTACTATTTTTTTGTAATTGATGCAGTATGTCAACAGTGAATTATCCTGCAACATACGGGTGCTTCGTCCTAGTAAGATCCGTCGGTGATGTTGGTAGCCTACATGGCGAAAATCAAAATTGGTAGAAATTACTGTTGAAACAGAAGTGGGTGTGCATAAAACTCCTTAATTGAATGAGTTTCGAAAATTAGAGCAGTACTGGTTAATTTCAAATCAATCAATCAATCAATCAATCAATCAATCAATCAATCAATCAATCAACCCAACCAACCAACCATCCAACCAACCAACCAATCAATGAATCAATCAATCAAAATATCGATCGATCGATCGATCGATCGACCGACCAACCAACCAACCAACCAACCAATCAAACAATCAATCAATCAATCAATCAATCAACCAACCAACCCAACCAACCAACCAACCCAACAATCCAACCAACCAACCAACCAACCAATCAATCAAAATATCGGTCAATCAAAATATCGATCGATCGATCGACCGACCAACCAACCAACCAACCAACCAATCAAACAATCAATCAAACAATCAATCAATCAATCAATCAATAGTTTATTTCAATCAATAATGAGCAAATGGAATATAGTAACAATATATAACATAGCAAGTTATTCTCTTTATTAAAAATAATCATGGAAATGTCTTCAAAGGAAAGCGGTCGGTTTCAAGCAATACACGATTAAGGATATGTCCCTAATAGAGTCATTAAACTCTAGTGATATGACCAGTATAATTTAAGGATACCTCAGTATTACATGTATATATATATGATGTGTTTTGTTTTGAAACTTCGCTGTTTTTGTCATTAAATCTTCACATTCTGGTCTTTTAATTCAGTTACCCAGAGTGCATCAAATGTCATTGAATATTCATGCAACGGCTGATATTAACAGGCGAACGACCAAACTCTTTCAAACCCTCCAGCTATATAGCTATATAGTACACCTATGTGGATGGAGTTTAAAAGGATGTCGATGGACTTATGGCAATTTTGACGTCTGTAAATGTACACACAGTCATGTATATCAAAGCAAATTGTGTACCTCCTTTACAGGTTGGAGTGTACAAGTCGGTCCATTATTACGTCTATGAACACTATCCCCGGGCTTAACTACATGCCTATCGATTTGTGATACTGAAATATCTTGCAAGTTGTAGACAAGTAAAAAACTGTCTTACATAAAGCATCATTTATGTGTTTGTAAGCCTAATATTGCTATATCCGGTCCCCTGGTCCACCATATTTCGATTTCCTGTACATTGTGTACTATAATAGACTAGACGTTCTCTGGTTACAACCCCCTAGATATATATATATATAAAACACATCATCGCACATGAACAAAGCTCATTGCTTGATAAAAAAATTCGATGTATAAATGTAAAGGAAAGACACCATTAGCTCCCACAAAACACTGGACCCAAAACAATATGTTCCAGAGGGTAAGCATTTCCTGTCCTATATATAGTACCTGACATAATATATGTGACGTACCTGTATTTAAGTATTTATGTTAAGCATGTTGGTCCGACATGTATTGTTCTGTATGTCGTCATAGCAACAACGATAATGGAATAGTGACCGACCCTTTTTGGTACATCGATTTCATGTCATAAACATTACAAGATGGCAATTTGATTGGTTTTGTTCAGTCTAAAAAGTTACAAACTGACAGTTCGATAAGTTTGCTGTCTGAAACATTATAAAAAAGACAGGTGGACCATTTTGAAATAAGGCTATCATCAAGATGCTGTTCATGCAAGAAATCTAAGTCTCATTTTCGAAACAGACGTATTTTTATGATATTCACAATGCGTGGAATCTGTAAATTCGTTAAACAGTGAAGGTACTGTAAACATATCTCGATCTAAAATTTTGTACGTTTACCTTAACAATAAAAAAATATTCTTTCAAATAGAATACATCGGTACCAACTTGCTATATCAGAAATTACAGCAGAAGGATGTTGAATTGCACGATAAGAACTGGAGACGTTTTGGGTTGCACGATTTCACTACAGTTTATTTCAATTTCGTTCTGGTTACAAAATACAAAGCAAAACAGATCGTATTAGAATACAGACTTTTTCCTACACCCTCATTGGCTAGATCCTGGACAATTGAATCATGATTACGTGGAGGTCGGTGATTCGGTGATTTATAATATTTACTCAACTGTAACGTCACAATGCTCTCTGCCAAACGCAGTACATTCCTCGTGTACATTTAGAGAGATATATGTGAGTTTCCATTTCATATGAAATTTATGAAACGAGTCTAAGAATTTTTCAATTTAACGAGCCTCATATGTAATGAAAACAAATGTAAGATCCTTTTTTATTACATAATCAAGAGTTGTGGCATTTATTCGTGTAAAACGACAATGTTCATGATGTAAAAAACGCCATTTTGACTCCTGTGCGTAAGTCTATGACGCATGTACTTGTCCTAAGCGTGACGTCACAATTGAAGCAATTGAGACTTACAACTAGTCACAGGGCTGATAGATTATATAACATGGGTTAATACCCTAAAAAATATGACCTGGGTATATTCACTGGATAACACAGTACATTATGTGATAAATCACCTTATGTCGGAAAAACAACAACCAGGGAGTTATTAAATGCGAGAGTAATGGTGTTCTATTATTTAAATATTCTCTCGATAAAACCATGATTTTTTCCTACATTTACTCACACCAAATAGAAAAAAATTAAATAGAAATTTCTGCAATATTCCGTTCTGAAAAATATCAATAACGACATAAGAAGAGTTCTAAACGCTTAAGGAATTTTTATTTTTTAGAATATGAATATTTTAACAGTGTATTTTACTTGCTGGAAAATGGGAAAACTATCAGTTTCAAAGAGAAAGAAAGTGGAACAGGGGTTTATGTATGAATGTAGAAAACAATATTCTTATCGATATGTCAAATGATATCAAAGTTCAACATTTTTCAATTGTGGTGATTTAAGGGAAACCTTGAGTGGTTTTATGCAACCAAGGATTGATGAACATCCAATATAAAACCGTATAAAAAATGGAACACTTTTTCGTATATATGGTGCGTTTTGTACTTATGAACAGCCATATGTACCTATTCCTTATAGGTCTGCCTGCCTCTTGAATGTTTCTCATGAATGCAATTGAAAAATTCACAAAATGAAATGAAAACATCTCCAGGGAAATGGTACGGTGCGACAACATGAATATCTAATCACATTTCTAAACGCGCAGTAATATTTGTTTGAATGCATATTTTTAATGATTAAACGATTCAAACTTTATCCGAAAGTGGAAATACTTCCTTGAAATGAACGTACACTGACTTATATGATGAGGTGTTCCGTTTTGGGTACCCAGCAAGCTTAAACATCCAAGTAAACCTGACTTAACTATATGTTCGTTCAGTAATTTCAGCCAATATGTCACGTAGAAAGTATTTGATACGTATATTGTGTTTAACAAGAAGTGTTTGCCTATCGGCAGTTGATTAAAATACGGTTTTATCAGCTTTGTTGGAGCATTTCGTGCTCTTACGAGTAATGTGTTGTGTGGTGTTATGTAATAATTATCTCGTGTCAGAAAATAGAATGAACCCAGACAAGCTTCCAACCGGTTGCTAGGAAATAACACTATTCCCCATTAAAAAAGGACAATAACGTACTTGGATACGTAATGGCAACAAAGTAACGCTAACGTTAACACATGTTTCAGTTTTAGGAGAACCTCAAGGGGAAAACCACAAGTGACTGTACAGAAATGTAAATGTTACTGACAAGATAGGAAGAGTAACACTTTTTTTTTGTTACTGGTGTTTTTTTCGCGATATAGAAATATTTCTGAGATATAAAATACATTTCTACTTAATTTTTCAGTAGTAATAAAATGCCCTAAATTCAAAGTAACGTTCTCACCTAACATGCCGTGTTTAAGAGTTTACATGTCATTTGATCACTGAATTGACAATGGAGGATATTTAACGATACCACGACTAAATACAGGTAGGGAGCCGATATAGGGGTACCAATCAATACAGGTATAATCCGTTTACTACTGGTAAAACAACATTCATAGAGCACTAATCAAGTTTTGTTATATGCAAAAACAACATACGTAACAGTTTTCAGGACCGACTAGTCTCTTTCCCAAGCAATGGATACCCTCAATCATTTATAGGAACTTGCTGTACGATAGTTTGTAAGTGCACGCCTGCAGGTAGGGAATGAGAAATAAATATACCCACTGTTGCACCATGCACGATTACTGACATATGATCAATATAATGTTCCTGTAGAATTGGGAATCTGCTTTTTGCATTCTACTTTTGGAGGCGAAACCGATAAAACAACTATTTTACCCATAAGAATATTTTTATTTTGTCTCTTTATTCTTCATACTTTTCTCATTTCCTACCGTTATGACCTTGGTGTCAGTGAGATAACGTTTCAAAGTGGCCCTTAAGTTGCCCTATCATCCTTGGAAACTGTCTTCTTATAATTTACGATTTTGCGAACTTGTAAACCCACAAAAAGTCTTTGACATATGGAAATCGCAAAATAACAAACATTATTTTCAAACACATAGAAATCGGTAAAAATAGTCTTGGCGCTCCAAAATTTACCTACCTTCAAATTTTAACCAGGTCCAAATGTAGTTGTACTCACGTGTTGAGGCTCGTGCGTGCATCGTCGTCAGTAGCATGGCAGTTACCAGTTTACCGGCCATAGTGGAGACATTGGCCAAACACAGGTTCTCTATACAACACTAAGTCAGCACCATGTGTATTGATCAAAACATTACAGAGCTACGCACGGCTACGTCCTAGTCATTGTATGGCTTCGATAGAAATACGGACTTGTACCGAACATGTTAGGAAGGAACCACGCAGCCTAGAATGGAGCTCGGAGGATAGAATACATTTACTAGAACTGATATAAGTAGACTTCTGACAACGCAATAGGCAAATTGTGGGTTTTTGTATTTTCAGTTGATATAAATAGATATAAAACTGGCGGGACATTTTATGCCTGATGGATTTTTTTTTATTCCTAAAACACATATTACATGTAAGTTTCCTAATTTCAGTATACTTCTACCATCCTTATATAATATAATAATTTTATTAAAGTGGTATTTAGGTTATTTTAATTTTAAACCTTGTGATTTTCCTCCGTGAAACGCATTTTAAATGGCATATTTCGTGGACATTTTGTGTACAAAGAATTACAATGTACATTTTCCAAACTGTAGAATAAAATATAATTTCAAAATAGTTTTGTTATTATTTATTAATGTTAAAAATAATTACATTTACTGGTCAGCAAAACAGAATTACGCTGGCAATAAAGATGATTTATCAGTTAATCTGCGAAATGTAACTTACTCCTCTTGAATATTTGATGGCACCAACTCCTCCTGTTAGAGACAGTCACGTGTCCCCCTGATTCACAGGGCAATACGTCACCAATTGTTGACACATATTTATAAACGTATTGATAGTTGGTTTTGTTACCTGTACTAGCATAAGACTAGGTACATAGTCACTATAAAGTTACATTATCGGCATCTCTTCTTTTGTATCTTTGGCTCGGTTATACTTGGAAACGGGACTAGTACTAGATTTATTTGGTATTAAGAAACAATTGTTAACAATATCCCTGGGTTTGCATAGTTTCTAAGGCAAACATAGATTTATTGCTTTATCTGCAAAAGAGTTAAACTCAGATTATTAGGATAAGACATCTAACAAAACTAAAACGTAATGTACGAGTTTAATATTTGAACTCCAAAATAAACAACAACGTTTCGGAGTCGGTCCAACTTGCAGCACTACGTACAGCAAATCAGGATTAAGCGTAGCCTATCTCTTCTTTTTCTAAACAAGTTTCTTCAGGTTTGTAATTATGGATTATGAAAATTTTCTTGTTACACAACCAATAAGTGATTCTATATGACGTTTCGGTGTAAAATGTGTACGAATTGTCCACAAAATCGATTTTGATTCGGTACGCTGTAAGCGTACGTACAAAAGTTGTTATATATGTACCGAATTGACTCGATTCGGCTACGCGTTGTTTAATACTTGGTCATAGATGTGCAAGAGTCTATGAGCCCCCTCATCTCGATTTAGAACTGGCCCACTGCGGCGTATCCATTCATTATTCATTCTTTATTTTCTTAAACCTTGCGGTTTATCAATACAGTGCATATATACAGTGCAAATTATACAGTCCATATATATACAAACAGAGAATACAACCTTCCGACCATGCATACACGATAAAATTACAGAAAAAGTGTAGAGCGTGTTGCATCTCCTTTTTTGACAGTGGTTCCGATATTTGGCTAAATAAGACAGTTCTTTATTATTTCGTATTATCATCAAATCTAAAAAAGGTGAAATACTAGGTTTTTTATGATGATATTTTTTAATGAAACGGTTTCTTTAATCAGTATAATGACTACATCTAAAATGATATTCGTCTTCAATATCGCCAGTGTTACAATATATACAAATTCTATCTTTTCTCTCTAAACCATGACATCTACCCGTTTCAATTTTCAACGTATGCGATGACAACCGAATTTTAGCTATTTGTTTTATATTTTGTAATCCAATAGATTTAATTAAATACTGTTTAAGACAAAAAATACCACAGATCCATTTATAAAGAGAACACTTAGCAGATGAATTAATTAAATCGAGACAGTCCTGTTGAAAAATGTTATGCATTCTACATTTAATATTATTCAGAGTTTGACCTGCATTATCCTCTGTTTACCATAAATATCCCAAACCTAACCTATATAATTCATTTCTTATGTTATTTGTCCAGTCGCTGCCCTTTTCAATCATCTCATCATAACAAGCCTTTAAAATGCAATTGTCCGAAATTCTAAGTTTAAGCAAATATTTAAAATTCTAAATTTCTTAATCATATGTAAAGATAGCCTCCCTAATTCTTGACAAATCATTACATTAGGTGTGCATTTCTTAACCCCCAAAAATCGTTTACAAAAATTCGAATGCACTTTCTCAATATCTGGAGCTTTGTGAAAGCCCCAACCTTAGTTCTATAGTTTAAGACACTGCACATAAAAGTATCAAAAACGCTAAATTGGGTTTCAATATTGAAATATTTCCTTTTACAAACATTGGATACAGCATATAGTGCTTTCCTACCTTGTTCTGCTAAGTTCTCTTGTTTAATACTAAATTTACCATTGAATTTCATTAGAATTCCAAGGTAGCTAAAACTATCAACATTTTCTAAAACATTACCATCATAAAACCATTTTTCTTCCTCCTTCAACTTACCACCATTTCTAAAAATTATGACTTTAGTTTTTTCAACATTAACAGTTAAATTCCATTTTCCAGATGGCTTCCTTTATCTGCCGCTTGAACAAATTGCTCTCTCAATTTTCTACAGAAAAATTCGATTTGTGGACAACTCGTACACATTTTACACCTTTGTGTGCATACGCTTCACTGGTCATTTGGCTGATGAAGGTGACAGAGTACATACCGTACTAGTCATCGAAACGTCACATAGAAACACTTATTGGTTGTGTAACAAGAACATTTTCATAATATATCTCTCTACGTTAAACCTTTTTATTCCCCTCTTTGACATTTTTGGGTTTGACAACAAAAGCTGACTTGACCAAACGTGTACAGTTCAGATCAAATTCATTTTGGTTAAGGGCTGAATCTATTCACACTGCTATTTCTTTGATCAGTGCTAGGACCAATCAAGGTGTTTTTCCCATTCCGTGCATTGTTTAGAAAACTAACAATCCAAACGGATGATCGTACATTGAACCACCTAAAGTATGCATATAATAGTTGATATATTGAAACACAGCTTCATATCACTCAAGACTATCGAGGAAAAACGGATTGAAACATGTTTCTTGTCATCACGCGAATCCAATCACATCTGTGCGGTGATTATCGTCTACAAGTTATCAAACAGCAGTAGATATAAGTCTCAACCTTAAACATAATGGACTTGGTGTGGAAGACATTTAATTGCCGAGACTGGGCGGGTATTCTGTTTACGGAGGAGTCCAAGTTTCACATACACAGCAGTAACGTCCGTTCACGATTCTATCGTCGGGTTGGGGAACGTTTTAACGACGTGTTTAGCGACATGCATTTGGCGGAGGCAGGGTTTGGGGTGGCATCACGTCAACAGGACGAACTCCTCTTGTGGCCATCGATGGCAATTTGAACGCCGTACGTTACTGTGACAAAATTATCCAGGCTTACGTCATCCCATTTGTGCAAGGACAGCAACCTCACATCACGCTTTATCCAGACGAAGCTAGATCTCAGGTCGGCCGGATGGTAATTTATTTTCTAGCGCAGCAGAACATCAATGTGTTGCATTGGCCTGCAGTCTCACACGATCTTGCAACCATCGAGCACGTCTGACATGAGATGTCGTTTACGTGTGCTTCCTTATCAGACGGTGTTGTTGGCAGCGCGTTGGGTCAGACGTTAGTCCAGATCTGGAACGGCATTCCCCATGTATTCTTCAACAATTTGGTACGCTCTATTAGTTGACGGTGTCAGGCCTGCGTCATTAACTTTGTGAAATGGTTTTTCACCCCTTGTGTTTTCCTCCCCAATATCAATGAAATGACGGATGCTGTGACATTTTAAATTAATTTAATATCTGCAACATTTCCTTTTAAAGAATGGTATCGGATCGTTTTATCTTTGTATGTCTTTAAATTATGTTTTTATCAGTATGATTGCCCAACACAGTTAATTTTTTCCGCTAGTATAGTAGTATCCCGATTAACAAGGATTTGGTTGCAAAGATTTATCGTACAGAGACTGGCTACGCTCATTCCGGATCGACTCTTTTATGATATGCTGTAGCCGGGGAACTATTCATATTTTTATTTATGAGAGTAACATTGTAACACTTAGAAAAACAAGATAAAAATAATTTTGCATTGAACTATAACATTTTCTAAGGCATATTCACAACATATCTATGACTTAAAGATCCCCGTACTACTGCCAAGAACTGTAACGAAGTATAATAATGATAATACAATCAACAACAAAGTCCTGAGCGTAAAACAAATATGAGTGGGGCTAGACCGGTATTCGAACCTTGGACTTCAGATTTATTTACACTAGTTTGTTCCCGGATCTTGTTATCAGGAGGAATCAATCGTATACGTCTGTGTCCTACCATGACATCTACAGGTATCAGGGCCCTAAATAGGTAATGTTTACACGCACCTCAAACGGATGTTCAATCCCTATTTACATCTGTTTTTAATATCACTGTGGTAGAAAAATAAAGATAACCATGTCAACGAAATAATAAGCCTCTATAACTTCAACTCGGATCTATTTATTGCCTACCTAAATGATACCCCTGCCTGCGAATGTGCTTCTGTTGTCGAGGACTGTAATCTCTTCTCCTCCGATGTTTTCTTATCTTCACTAAAACATCCATTTCTATCCCAATTGATGCTGTTTCATAAAATATATAAAACATAGGTCTTTATGGTTTCCACACACGCGATGGAAACATGAATGCAATTATTCTGGAGATGATTCAGAGCTACATAAGCGATACCTGACGTTTTATTATGACTATTACTGAATCCCAACCGTTAATTGTAAGGGCTCCTGGTCCGTTTGTCAACGGTCGGGAATGGTCCCGGCAGAACATATCGTCAGTGTATGGACAAGTGGTCTGTGGTGGCAACCAGCTATAAGGCTGACCAGCTGACTGATATTTGTGATGACTGTCAAATTAATAAAAACGATCACTTGTACAAAATATGGAGTAATAATGTGAAAGTAAATTTTTGAAATATCGTATTAGATGTACATAAACTTATAAAATGACGTGTAAGTCCCGTCAACAGTGTAAGTAGACGGCATGTACATTTATGCATTGTTTGTTGACCAATTATATTTTTGAGATCTGTACATTCAAATATTCAATGCGGTGAGAAAAATACAATCATGACTGTTCTTAGGTGTTCATTTGTCGATGTTATCCATCTTACACTAAACACATCATGGACAACATCATAATGTTTCTGCAAGATCATGTTGGTTGAGGCGCAAGTGATAGAGAACCCAACCCCACACTTACGTTTAAAATTATCAGTAATGATTCAATAAAAACAGATTGTACTTGTTAAATACATGATCCTGAAATATCTTCTGAACAATATTCAAAATTAATTAAAAAAATAAAGAAACATTTGTGAGACAATCATAACATTGGACAAAATCAGTATTACAGCACCGTTGACGTACAGCTATCCGTAAAAGTTAACATTAGTCTAAAATATGTGATTGGAAACTCAGTAATGCCTTTCGTTAAAGAGAAAGATTCCCTTTCCAGATATGTAGACAGTAGGCAGATTCACACCAAGCTTAAATGAGGCCATAGATAGATTCGACACTCACTTTTTTTTTCTCCAAACCACTGTTACCAATAAAATGCCATCTTATTTAACTGAAACCTCTATCTGACAATTGCTGTGCGTGTTTTAGCAGATATATCCCCGTTAACACCCACGACAATAACATAACTGCTTTCAGCATATTACGCGTTAATTGATCAATATGGTACGTGCAACGTTGCTAACAGCTAGAGCTAGTCAAAGACACAGCATAGAAAATCAACTGCAAACTATTGACACAAAACAAATGAAGCTTTCCAACGTTTACTTATTCACAAACGCATTTGAACATACAAGGATGACGAATATATTTATAGTCCTGCTTTGAATATAAGATCGACCCACCATCATTGTTCTGCTTCAATCATAGTCATTTATTTTTCTTGTTTTCCACGTCGATCATGAATACCATCCTGAACTTAAGGAACATCAACGCCACATACACGTCGACATCAGTCGCTTATCTTCTATGACGTCTATGAAATGAAAAATAAAATAATAAAAAAACCGCTTATCTCGGGCAATTTGATAAACATGACCAACAGTGACGTTCAAATTTTCCGATCGTGAACTTTCCACTTCTCCATAGCAACATCTTTCCTCACCATACGTTATTCATGAGCTTGTCCCGAATGTAACGTTATATTTCCGTGGTAGATATTGAATGTTGACAAACACTTGACAGGTATCAAGAGATGCAGGTTGATGCAGACTTTGTGCCAGTTTTATGGTCACCACAATGGCCGCCACGGTGTTTATTCGGCATTAATTAGTGATCATATATAGCAAGCGGTTTAGCAGGCCATAGACACTTAATGTGCTTAAATAATCCATCTTAAGACCTCTCAAGTATGTACCAAATAATTATGACATATGAACCTCTTTTCCATAAGGTTTTAAACCAAGAAAACAACATGATGAATATCTAATACTTATAACCATTGATGAGTGAAAGTGTTCATATGTTAATTAATTGAACACGGACACATTTGAAAGATACATAACGACAGATGAATAGACAGATTACAAACATTATATGATACAACTCTGTTAATATACAAGTTAACGTGTACGGTAGTGTCGAACGTCTTTAACGCCAAAGTAGCTTACCTACGTACGTAATTAAGTACAAGCGTGTGTCAACTATACAGGATATAATTACATAAAAATGAGTCATTTCAACCACGCTGTGAGACAATGTCATTCTTTCCTTCAACTAATTGCCATAAAAGTAAATATTTATTTACATTACAATACGACGCTAGAACTGACGAGTCACCGTCCGCTCTGCTGCCTCTCGACTGTACACGTTCCCATAACATCCGGTATGTGTTATCGTCCTATATATAGGTCAACACCGGTCTCCGATAAAGCCAGTCTGAGCGTGGAACACATCCGAAATGGCAGCGTCACCACCCGTCCAGAAGGCTTCGACACATGTACCATCGCTCGATGAAGTTGCCAAAGGTAAGTTATGTATGCTTATGTATAATCGCAACGTTTGGTGATAATTGATTGTGCTAGCGACTGCGCCGGAACTGGTTAACAGAAGGGCGTTTTGACGGGGGTCGTCTCAAAGGTTATTTTAGTTTTGCCGGGCGTTAAAAAACATATTGCGATGAATAACTACTTTATCTTTTAGCTGCAAAACATATCAATCATAAACCTAACAATATATTAGTGTATATGTTAATGATAAGTTCTGGTATCACATTGCAAAACAAAGACAATCGAGTATGGGACAACAGGATATCTTGGCTAAACCATACCATACAGATTTTGTTTTGGTTATCAAATTTAAACTCTTTCATTTGTTTCTTTTAAAAAATCCCCATTAAAGGTTGGTTACATGAGATATTATAGCCAGAGATTAACAATTTGATATGTTTTTGATGTAGTTTCGGCTAAATCCCTCTTACAAGTGTAACAGTGAAACGATTCCATTTGGCGTTTCTACTGTACAAACATATATCATCTTAATATTTAAACATGTATAAGAGTTTATGGTTTGTTTTCCCGCTAGAGAAAATCTACGCTGTCTCCGGAGAGTATTCAGTCATTATGATCTTTGTACACCTTCTCTTGCTTATTTTACACCAGCTCTGTCCGGCGGGTTATCCCAGAACTTTGCCAACGTCAGTACCAGTGTTGTCGACTGTCCAGACCTCACAAAGAAGCCCTTCATGTTGGTTTCCGAAGGTATTTTTGGATCTTTATTTGTTTACCGACCAGCATTTGTTATTATCCAGAGCTATCAATGTACCAGCTGATCTGTGTTACATCATCTACAAGTACGGTTCCGAAATTACATTATAGATATTCCGAAGTTTTACTCTTCCAAGGTACTAAGCCGGTATATATTTGAAGGTTTCCAACAGTACAAGCAGTGGGTTGCTATAGTATTGATGGTGTTCAAAGTACTTTCGGAAACTTTTTGTGTTGTATACTTAAAGCTTGATACTGTCAACATGAACACCAGTCTCTCCTACATGGCACCCTAACATTGTAGACCGGGTATTCCCTGTCAGGTAGCTATCATAGCTACAGACTAGAGTACAATACTTCGTTGTTATTTATAATGTTATGTACATTCAGTTCGCGATTAACCACACGCTGATCCTAAAACCGAAATGTCGTCACTTTAATGGACATTACTGTAAGGATTTGTTATAAATATTTTCATCGTGGAAATAAATGTTTGCTGACGAGAACAAAAGGGTTTCGGGCAGGGGTCGATTGTTGTACGGTGACCAAATATTTAAATATACGATATTGACCAACGAAATACCTAGGTAAATATATACACAGTCCCCTCAAATAAACAGACAGCTGGGTCTTTTTGAACATATTCGATCTAATATATGTAAACAATTTACTGTATATGTGGACAGGGTCTCTGTAGGGTCTCCTTATAAACATTCAGTGTTGTACATGGCGAAGTGACATTTATATACCAATGTTCTTATACATGTCGATATAGCCTTTATAGACAGGTATTGACATTAAATATACATTTTTTAAACAGGATTTGAGTAAACATTGTAACAACCTGAACCGGCAGGTACATATTTATCTTCTATGCATAATTTTTGATGTGACACTATATCCCTGCCATACAAGTCAAGTTCTAGAAAGATAATTGTTATACATAATATATCAATTTGACATTGTAGATAATTGTATACAGCCTGGTATTTACTTATTAATCGTGTACATATATACGATACATATATATATAACCGAATTAAACTTGCTGATGTGTGTATGAACAGGGCTAGGAGGCAATCCCAGACTGGCGGACGTAGGAGGACCAGGGTTCCTGACCCCTACCCCACAAACTGACAAGGTAGAAACTTATCTCTGAGTTATCTCCCTTTAACCATCAGCGATGAATGGACATCTGTCAAACAAAGATATTTCTGGATTTAAAACAGTTTTATCTCGCGCGTTTTAATTTGTGATAAGCAACTCACATGCCGATTTTAATCGATTACAGAAATTTACATTTGCACAAATTGCAAAGTTGGCCGAGTTGCCTGGGGCTTTTATGATTGGAGCCGGTGCTGGACCCTGTCAGCATGTGGGTTGTAATAGTGAGGTAAGTACACAGTTATCACCAATCAATTAAATCGCATACCAACACGAACTTCAGTTAATAAAAACTGTGACCAGTTTAATTCGGCTGCTTTGATAATTTAAACAGTGCCCTTTCCTTCATATCTAAGAGTACCGATTACATAATCGACATAATACCTGTATTGATCTTTCGTATTTGTTAGTCTATAGGGACATTCTACAATGTCGATATTGGCTCTACTTTACGGACGTCACATATTTTACCCTGTCCTGAATATATATTTCTGTACAATAACCTACATTTTGACCTCATGCTTGGTTGTGTACTGAAGTGGTTATAAGTATATAAATCCTGCTATAATATGTAAGCAGTGTTACAGTCTAAATATACAGTAATATAGCACTCTCAAAGGAAATGAAGAATTAACACTTATTAAACTCTTTTTTTTTGTGTCCAGTATTTTGATGTAAGTACTTAGAGGTGAATGACTATATTGATAGACCCAATATTAAAATTATGAATACGTTTATCGCAATTCACTTTACCTTGTACAGTGACTCAAGTTTGCAGGACGTATAGTCACCTAACATCGAATTTGAATGGTGATAGCCAGAAGCTGTAAATTTATTTTTAGCCTCGTTCCTCAAATCTAACAAGAACGTCTCTTCACTACATTCCTGCTCATATATAAATATATTTAAGATGTTGATGTTAATTGATATTTATGATTACAGTTGATGAATAATATTTTGCTGGACAGCAATGGAGGCGTAGTGAGAAACAACGCTCACATTGCTAAAGTCAACCCAGAGGTAAGAAAGGGTACCGACAGGCAGTCCTTAATGCCATACGATAATACCTTTTTGTACATCCATCCAGTAATATTTAGATGTGCGATCCACACCATTCAGTGGGAAGTAGTCAAACGTGGCTCTCGAACATATCAACTAGGATCATCAGTTGAAAATAGTGTATATATATTGTATTTATAACAAATCATATGTCAGACTAACTTTAATTTCCACTCAGTTTGGAGCTCGCGCCATATAGTTTAGAGTAAAAACGTGAATCTAAAAACTACTTAAAAACAGTAATTGAGACAACAAAACTGAATTCAAATTCAGAGTTATGATGTGATTATGAGGTTCGCTTTTCATTCCAGAACAATGCCTGTGTCCTGGAGAAACTATCCTGTCCGGAGTTTAATCTGATGGGAAACTTTCTGATCTCCGAGGGAAAGAGTGGCAAGGTATGGCAATCATGATATTCGTATCATAAATGAAGAAACGTCACTATTTCAGTCTGTGACGTTAACTTTTTTCCACGCTAGTCATTTGGACTAGTGAACCCAGAATTTTAATAGTCCGACTATGAATTTGCGAGTCCAAATTACAGACTGGTCTTTTTTACAGCATGAAGTGTAAATTGTGATCTAAATTGGGAAATTATTAGAAATTAAAACTGACAAAATAAATCTGTGTAACTACAAAACATTTTCTTACACACGTTGTCAAATTCTAACCAAGTTCTGTTTTTCTTCCACTCCGGCCTTAAGGACCTTATCCGATTCTTTTCATAATTTTGCTTTCGTGTTAGAGCATCTTTTTCTGTAGATGTTCTTTTTCTGTAGATGTTCACAGACAGGCTTAGCTGGATTTGAACATTTCCTTCACTCCAGCTTAACATGGTTCACGTGGTTATAAACCGGAAGTAATGTTAGATAACTACTAAAATCCGGAACCCAGTCTCGCAAATCGAAATGCTTCAATTTCGAACGCTTCGACGAATAACATATTTTACAATAGGATTAAAACTTGTGACAAGCTTTATTGTGCAAAATGTATACAATTAAGTAAACCCTTAGGCTGCTACATTGATTTCTATGTAAAGGGACGCCACTGCTGAATTAATTATTGAAATATAAATTAATTTACTTAATTTTTCAAATGTGCATAACTTGAAAAATATTTGTTATATGTGAATAAAAGTAATAAGAGAATTGTTCGTTATTGTCTCTAGTTTATATTAACGTTTTCGATTCTAAAGTTGCTTCAGTATTTACCTGTACAGGTGGTAATAAAGGTAAAACTTTTAATTACCGGATTTAAGCCCCAGAAAGATCACTTTAAAATTGTTTTTATCAGCAAATGTGAATGGAAAATGATAACAGAGATAATAAACTTCATTTATGACATAAGATGCTGTACATTTACACGGAGATTCTCAGGTAAAAAGGTCAGGTATTTCATCAAGAATTGCATGCGATTTGCTACAGGTTTCAGGTCGTCATTCAATATATTTATTGTCACAGTCGGCATATAGATATATCTTAGCTACGGTCTAGTTTATGATTAAATCATCGATAAATAGTTTGAAGAAATCAATCGGCTCAAAACGTATCAATGTCAATGTTCAATTCGGCCTCACCTGCAGACGACATGTGCGCCTCGGTCCGCCGATATTTTCATGTTTGCGTAGGGCACAAAGTTGTCCATTGGAAAGTTACATATTATGTTACACCGAAGTATTTCCACATCAACCATGTCAAACCCTTTCAAACCTTTATTATCATCGTAGGTGACGCTGGAGAATAAATGTTTACCGTCATATTCATCACTTCAATCTACACGTCCGCCATTTTTATGACATTTTTTCCGATTTGAAATTCTCTCGCACACTTTCATTATTACTAGGGTACATTGCCGGGAATATCGAAAGTAATGACAAAATAACCAATCAGAAGCCTTCTACTATACGCTTTCAGGTTTGGTATAGCAACAGTCCGCTTTCACACTTCCTGTTTACTGATCAAAAACCTACAGACCGCGCACCACTATAGTGGTGCGTAGCACTGACGGCCCGACTTTTCGAAACGGTTATTGTGGTGCGTAGCAGCTTAAGGGTTTAAAAAATAATATTTCCGTTATTTTGGAGGAAAATTGCCACTAGGTCAGTCGGACTAGTTAAATATTTTCAATACTAGTCCAGACTTAAATTTACTAGTCGTGGGCATCGGACTAGTGCCGAACGTCGCAGACTGCTATTTATTCTTATCAGTCATGAACGTCCCTAACCAGTATGATGATGGTCAGTGTTTCCTCCTACAGAACATCCCCTATAAATTGTAACGACCGCCGACTCCCCCCACCCTCGCCTTCTTGGGGATCAGAAATCTTATTGGCAAATACGCAATAGATATATATGGTGGCTCGTGAACAAATAACGAAGGACTAATAAAGGGAGCTGAGCCTAACTTATTAAAAGGTAACCAATGTTGTGCAGCAAAGAAATAAATATTCAATATTTGAATACATGGTGATGGTATTTTATATCCTGTCAGGTGTTAGAGGTGAAAGCTGGAAAGAGGACCGGAGAGGAAAACTTTGTCTCCTGCATGCGCAAGACACTGAAGAGTTACTATGGCGACAAGATAGTAGCACTAGGCGGTGTGTTCCTCATAGAGAAGGGCAAAGCAAACCTCCACATCATGGTCAGTATAGACTTGTAAACCAAGCACACAAACAGGTGTGAACCTATATTTGGATATAATTGGCCAATTACCACAAACATAAAGTTAACCAACTTAAATTGTTTAAAACTGGCTTTGTATAGCCTCTTTGACCTTAACCTTTTAGTGGCTAATGCACTTGAGATACGGGACATTTTATCATAAACCAATCACTCTTATGTCCACAGCCAGACTTTGCCAAAGAACCCCTACATACTAATGAGGAGGTGAAGAACTGGCTCAAATTTTACGACATGTCGGCGCCTCTAGTGTGTGTTGGGGAACTGGTGTCCCACGACCCGGTATGTATACAGTATAAACCTCTAATTATATCACTCATTTACCCTTACTTATTTAAACTTAACTTGCTCAGTCTTTGATTTGGTAAGGTTCAAATGTGACTTTACCGGTGGATTGGTTAAGTGTTGAGCCGGATTTGGAATGCTTTAAGTACCAAGCCAGATAACTTGTGTAAAATAATGCAGGTTGTGTTTTTCTCCGCTCCTGGTATGAATTTCTCCGCTCCTGCAACATTGAATAAATATGCAAAGCATTGGTAAACATTTCATGTAAAGTCACCCATGGTAACAGATTTGACGAGATTATATAGGCCATTGCTTTTGATTACAATGTTTCGTTCGTAACGATGCTTTTGGGTCAGTATTGTCATGGCAGAAGTCATGGCAACTGTTTCACTAATTATGAACAGGAATTATGTGATTCCATAAGAAACATACAAGGTTCTCCAGAAATAATATGAAGGTTATTGGACTCTTCAAGTTGAGCCATGGTAGAGTTATGTAGGGATTGAGACGTTCGGTTGGACACACGCATATGCACACAGGAGAGGCCGTCCTTAAAAGATCATAGCTATTAATAGGACGTTAAACAATACTAAACCAAACCAAACTGTTGGACATTCATTGAGTGATGTTAATATGCATTAATGGAATATGCTGTTATTACAAATATATGAAATACTTCCATTAATTTAAATACTCTTTTTATTACAAGGGTATGGATCTGCGCGTGGAGCACTTTCACTGCTTCAGTGAGCACGGAGAGGGTGGTCACTACCACTGGGACACGACCCCCGAGGACGTACAATACCGCGGCTACTTCGTCCTAGCCGACTACATATACAGGGTGGACCAGCCTCCAAATATCACAGACCTCGCCCGTTAGATTGTTCCTAGTCTATCATCACTCGCAGACCTCGCCCATTAGATTGTTCCTAGTCTATCATCTCCTCACAGACCTCGCCCATTAGATTGTTCCTAGTCTATCTCCTACATAAACACTGATGCACTGCTGCTCTATTGTATTTTGACAGTACTATGCTGACTGTCTACTTGGACACTGAGAAATCAAGAAAACATATTTCCAAATGGGCAAAATACATCCTTTCTAACTCGAGCGACCCGCAATGAAATGTGTAGGAGCTGTCCACTAATTGATGTCGATTCGGCTGCGCTGTATGTGCATGTATTATATTTGTTATATATGTACCGAAATGTACTTGGTCATAGATGTGCAAGGGTCTTTGAAACTTTCCCTGATAGTTTAGTATTTCTCTGGTCTGTTATTAAACGGCACTATTTATACATATAATTGGCAATAGAATCAATAAAAAAGGTTTTTGCATTGTTTTGTTTGGTTTTACTTTGTTTAACGTTCTATCAACAGCTAAGGTCATTTAAGGACCTGTCTCCATGTGTGTTGTGTATGCGTGCTTGCGTGTATGTATGCAGGAGATAGGATATGTTGGTGTATTTGCCTCCTTGTGATAGCGCGGATCTGATACCGACTTTATAGTGCTATCTCACTGAAATATCATGTCGAAGGAACCAAGCACAGCATTCCGCCCGGTCACATTATACATCCTTTCCCCTAAATGTTGAACGTTAAACAGGGAATAGCGGCAACTATCATTGTAAGGACTTTGGTATGTCCTGCCTGGGGACAGAACTCATTGTTCAATATCCAAAAATTAAAAAAAAGGTGTATTGAAAAATATTTATGAAATAATTTTCTAAAAGTTGTGAGTGACTTTACTTCTATAACAAGTATGTCTCAGCTCCAATTTTGAACAGACTTTAGTCACACCTAACTTAAAATGCTATCACATAAATATAGATTAAAACTTGGGTAACTTCATCGCTCTATAGCAACTTCATTTCTCTATACAAAGGTCAATTCATAGAATACCATGGATGTGTGGGTGTGGACGAGTTCTCATGTCAGGTTGTCAATGTCCGACGCATTACATGTATTGCAATATTTTACATTTGTTTTATTAAAACTTTTTTGCACTATGGCGGTGCGTATTCACCAGGTACAATGCTCGCTTAACACGCGGCAGTAATCCTTTGTCAACTAATGTATTGTAAACAATTAAATCAAATCCTTTTTGCAATACAGAAACAACAAACAGTGTAGACAGTATACCAAACAAAGCTTCTGTTCAACAGATGTATTCATTACAATCTACCGTCACAGTCGTGCCGTTAAGCAGTTGTCTCTCTTGAGACACTGCTCGGACTGTCGTAGTTTGTTAAGAGTGAATTATCACCTCATTCAGTCTTAATACAATCACTGTTCTTATTTTGCTACAGACATATAATTATGTGATTTTTTTAGAGTGGCTCCTCATTGCTAGCTGTGTGTACGATATGTAACTGCTAAATAAACCACGCCGTTATCTAACCTGTTAACGTGTGTTCCTTGTTGACGAGGACAGAACAGAATGTCTATGACTCTCAACGCCAAGGTATATTGAGATAAAGCAAAAGTTCATGGTGACGTCATGACGCAGGTGAAAGAACCCATATTACGTTACATCAGCAAAAACTGAATGCATCTCTCCACCACAAATGAAAAGTTTTGACGGATGTTTATGTAAAAATCGCTAACATATACATGGAAGACATTTACTTGGGGATCATCGATATATTCGAGGAACTGGAGGCCAAACGCAAAATTATTTTCCGAGTCAAAGAGAAAAAATAATATAGCAAAAAATGGCGCTAATATGTTGGCCAATACAACATTATTGAGAGGAATTGTCGATGAATACTGCACCTTTTAGACCACCTTGGCATTCAAAACATACCCCTAACTATACGTCGACCACACACACTCCAGTTCTCAGAGGATTGACATCGTTCTATCACCGTGAAAAAGCCAGCACGGTGCAGAAGCAGAATGCCAATAGTGAGCTAATCTACAGTTGTAAGTATGGAAATGTTAAGCTGCTGTCGTGAGTCAAATTACCTACATGTAACCTTCTCGGGAGTCGGAGGAAATCTTATCGCTGTTCAGTTCATGTATATCACTATGGATCCCTTTGCCTGATCTAAAGCGTTTGTTGTTAGTAGCTTACGAAACTTCTAGAGGAAACACTTAAGAGAATAGACCCTTCAAATAACTAAACATTTCAGAAAAACAAACTACCCACCATCCAGGTCTTTCAGGTGCTTTCATCATATTGTCTTCTGTATTCTGAGTTATCAACGATGTGACAATAAAAATCTCAGAGATGTATTCTCTGAAGATTGACCGTAGTTAACGATCAAGCTGAGTCGTACTCAGCATGGAAAGAATAATTCCGGAACAATATCAGGGAACTAAACATTGATGCTCAAGAAGAGCTGGACATGATAATAATGTGGCTCATGCCGAAGACATCCAATCAGACGATGCTTTCGTTTACGAAATTGGTTTTGGCTTTGAACGTCCGGCAAAGACTGGATGCGAACACTCGGTCACTTTCCCCTGTAAAAGAGAATGACTTAATTTCCAAAAGTCTCACCCAAGGTCTGTATATCACAACCAGTGGATGTCGATGCGTGCCGTTTGTGTGACTAGTACGGTATGTAACACTGTCACCTTCATCAGACAAATGACCAGTGAAGCGTACGTACACAAAGGTGTAAACTATTTACGAGTTGACAACAGTCAAATCACCGTCGATACGGCTACTTTATTAATGTATTTACACTTTGTTTATATATTTACGAAATGACGGATCAGTTTGGCTACTTTTTGTTTGATACCTGGTCATAGATGTGGGAGATTCTATGAGCCCCCTCATCTAGATTCGGAACTGGCCCCCTGGGGCGTGTTGGACAGAGAGAGCAATCTATTCAGGTGGCCGCTTATATACAACGCAGCGGGCTATTTCTGAATTGAGGTGAGGGGGCTCATAGACATGAAGGAGAAGTGCCGTGAACTCCGTAATCAAGTCAATGGAAATAACTCGATCTCGGAACAGATACAATTATCAAATACATTAGCATAGTGTTAGTAATAAACTGTTCTGGGGAGTTTAAAAAATGAAAACCGTTGGAAATAGGTAAATGCATAATTGCTCTTTTTAGGGCAACGCTCTTTTACAGTGATAAACACAATTATGTACTACATCTTCGTACAGCATAATATCATTGGTACATATATATGAGATAGAAATATGTATACGCCAGAAACTGATGTTAAACTCAGAAATAATGAATGAACTCGATGATCTGGCATCCCTTCTATTTTAATAAAGCTTCAAATTAAATAGGAGCATTTACCCCACCTCTTCCAAATTATATAAGAGTCCCTGGTCTCTAAAATATATAACGAACGTTTTAGAAAGGATGAATAAAACTATTATTCTAAGTACATATACGTACATTACAGGGACATGGGAGTATACAGTCTGATATGTGACAGACGCGTACGGTTGCCTCTCCTAACCCGGTAAGTGTAGGGGAAATTGATAGTGCCGTCAGCATTTTACCGTAATCACGGTCGGGGAATACAGCAGGCGAAATCGTCTATCCTTGTCGCAGACACAGTTTTTGTCATAGGGAGAGATTGATTGAAATGGAATAGATCTCATCGAACTGATTACGGCATTTCTACGGTAAAGTATTCGGGACATGCACAAATCGAACATTTATATAAAGAAGGTTACACCTAGTCATCATTTATTTAAAAAGAAATTCGGGATTTGTTTTCTAGTTGTGACCAAATCGTCACCTTAGTTTCAGTACAGTATCCGATTCTTTTCAGGCTTATTGTATGGTAATAAGGAAAATGGCGAAAGTGTGACCACTGGGCATACCTATGAGTCATGTAGGACGCAATGAAGAAAACAGCATGGACTAGACAGGTATGTTGTACCTGTTTCTTTTCAGATTGATTGAAAATTCATTTGCAAATTTCGAATATTTTTTGTTCTATGCGCATATCGAGTTAAACTGTTATATGTATGTAATTATAATCAGCTGTGTCAAATGTTGCCGCACACTTTACGTCAGCCTCTGGTCTCATCGTGTTGAATACTATTTCTATTAGAACAGGAACATTTCTGATGGTTTCAATGTGTTGCCTACCGGAAGTAGCGAAGATGCTTTGATTGGAGGTAAAATTAACGGAGTTTTGTTTGATATTCGATTTATGGTAGAGAGTTCAACCAATTTAAACCAGTATACATGTAATAAAAGTAGTTTTCCTTTGACAATTGAGATCATTTCAATATATTTATGCAAACACAATACTGGCTTACAGGCCTTCGAACGGAATCAGAATATTTTCATTTTTCCCCCAGTAATGTTTCAGAGAAAAGAATGAATATGTAATATGTTGGTTGGTTATAAAGGGTTTTGCGTCCTTTCAACAGCTAAGGTCGTTTAAGGATGTGCCTCCATGTGTTTTGTGTATAAACGCATGTGTGTATGTGTGCTGGAGGCAGGGTATGTTGGTGTATTTGCCGCCTTGCTGTAGCGAGGATCTGATGCCGACTTTATAGTGCTTTCTCACTCAAATACCTTGTCGAAGGCGCAACATTCCACTCGGTCACTTTATACTGACAACGGGTAAATTGCCATTACCGTAAATGCTGAACGTTAAACAGGGAATAACAACTACCCTTTTCAGTACTGTGGTGTGTCCTGGCATAGGGACAGAACCCATTGCCGTTCTCACCTAGGTGAACGTTCAACATTAAAGCCATAAATGAGGTATTGCCAAGCTAGGCGCTAAAAAATCAAAGGTAGTTAGAAGTAGAGAAAATATAAAGATCACAAATATTGCGATGGATGCAGTAGCCTTATTTTAGTCGCTTTTGTGTCCCGAAGTAGAGGGCACCAAATCAAATCCCCTATTCTGCAAGGGTTCTCACATAAGTCTCCTTTTACGATGTATGAAGGCGCATTCTTTTCTCGATAACCGACCTGCAGGGGTGCTGTTACCGGTGGCGCAGTGGGTAAGCTCTCTGAAAAGCTTACAAGAAAGAAATTTAATACATACATTTTTTAATATATATATATGAATTGTTTGCCTAAAATACACAAAAGTACTATCATAGCTGAAGCTATTAAACAACAGAAAAGCGAGCATGTGATTATTGAAAATCCAGATGATTTGACATTTCGACCAATAGTAGGCGGACCTAACAGTGTTACCCAATGGCTTAGTTATTTTATTGACCTTATTTTGAAGCCACTTTGTTCTTCAGTGAGGAGTTTTAAAAAAGACGATTTTGATTTTCTTAAACATTTGCCAAAATCTGTTCCTCCCAATTCTAAACTTGTGTCTTTTGACGTCGTCAGCTTATACACTAATATTCCACATGATTTAGGAATTGAAGCTATTACG